CTCTGTCAAATAAATAAAATCTTAAAAAAAAAAGTGAAACTATAAGAAAAATAATTGACATGACAGGCCATATTAAAATTTTAAGTGACAACATAGAAAATTGGGTGGATATTATAATTACATTGGTTTTCACCTCCCAGTTATTTACCCATTTACCTCTTTTGTTTCCAGTTTGTGGCTATTATAAATGTGTAATATATTCTTTTAAAATTGAAGTACAGTTGACATTTGTGTAATACATTGTTTATTGAACTAGGGAGATTCCTGAGATGACTCATTCATCCCTTCTATGAATGCAAAAAAAAAAAAAATCACCTGTGTTAATTTACCTATTTAGTACAACTGGTTTTGCTTTCATTTGTAAGCCACAACTGCACTATGACAGAGTCTGGTGGCTTTCGGGGGGGTGGGGGGATCTTTAGAGTTCTTTTAGAACTCAGGAATGAAGAAATGTTGTATTAAGGGAATTGGTGAATTTTTATTTTTTTAAAGATTTTATTTATTTATTTGACACAGAGACAGCTAGAGAGGGAACACAAGCAGGGAGAGTGGGAGAGGGAGAAGCAGGCTTCCCGCTGAGCAGGGAGCCCGATATGGGGCTCGATCCCAGGACCTTGGGATCATGACCTGAACCGAAGGCAGATGCTTAATGACTCAGCCACCCAGGCGCCCCAATTGGTGAATTTTTAAAGAGAATAAAGGACTGACTGTTCAGCCTGAAACAATCTGTTAATGACTTACAGCAAAAATGGAAAGTAGTTAGTTCCCTGTTTTCACTGATTGAACTAAAGGACATTATCACAGGTGATCTTAAGGCTTTAAGTTAATGAACAAATTCCTTAGTGTTAAATCCAAATTAGCTTGTGGTCAGTCAGTTCAAAACTTTTTTTTCCCCAAGATATGAACCCTAAAAAAATACCCTGATTATTTTCAGGCTAACATTTTTATTGAGGTTTTATATAGTAAAACGTGTCAGTGTGTTCCAACCAAATACCACCAGGAACATTCCTTGTGGTCAAACAAGTTGGGTTTACTGCTCATTGCAGCAAAGGAGAACACACAACATTGGATTTGTGTTTATTGATTTAGAGAAGGTTTAAGGAAGTGAGGCTTTGTTCTGGATTGGATGTTGTCAGGAATCAGGGCAATTCTATAACTGCATATCTTAATTAATCTTATCCATAAGGAAGGAAGACTAAAGGAAGGCTAAAATTGTAATTGGTAAAGAAGTAGCATTCAAATTATCCAGGAGTGTTTAGCATTTTGTGGCTTGAATAATGTTCATGTGTTATCTGTTTAGATATGTTTAGATATGATTACAGGGTGATCTTGTTTTTGTCTTGATCCACTAGGATCCCAAAGTTGCCTATCTGTCGTGAATTCATAACAAGATCTCGTTCACAGTACTAAGCTAGCTCTTACATGTCAGCGGCAGCTTCTCTTTCTCAACTGTATAAAGAGCATAAATCCTTTTTAGAAAAGATTTTATTTGAGCGAAAGAGAAAGAGAGTGTGTGCATGAGCAGGGGGAGAGAAGCCCAAGCAGACTCCATGCTGCGCACAGAGCCCCACATGGGGCTCCATCTCACAACCTTGAGATCATGACCTGAACCAAAACCAAGAGTTGGACGCTTAACCGACTGAGCTACCCAGGTGCCCAAAGAGCATAAATCTTAAGTGTACAGCTTGATGTCATTTTATCCACTTTATTGATTTATATACAATAAATAACACTTAGTGTACAGTTGAATTTTGAAAGGTGATACCCAGGTAACTACCATGACAAGTATGATGCAGAACATTTCCATTGCTTGAGAAAGTTCCTCATGGCCTTTATAGTTAACCTCTCCCACCACACCTGGTCCCAGACAACCAATGATCTGCTTTGTCACTGTAGATTAGTTTGCATTTTCTGGAATTTCACAGAAAGGAATCATACAGTATGTATTCATTTGTGTATGGCTCTTTCACTTAGAATGCTTAGGGCATATGGTTTTCTTGTGGGTATATTCCCAGGAGTGGAATTCCCCAGTTCTTATGTTTATATTTTACCCTATTAGAAAATGCTAAACTGTCTTTAACAGAGGTCATTTCATTTTACATTCCCACAAACAGTATTGGAGTATTCTCACCAACACTTTGCATTGTCAATCTTTTTTTTCCTTCCCCCATCCTCAGCCTGTATGGTCAATCTTTCTAATTTTAGCTATTCTATTGCTTGAGTTGCAGTGTCTCATTGTGGGTTGTTGTTGTGGTGGTTGTTTTTAATAGGTTACATGCCCAACATGGGGCTTGAACTCATGATCCTGAGATCAAGAGTCAGATGCTGTACTGACTGAGCCAGGTGCCTCTCATTGTGGCTTTTTATTTTTTAAAGATTTATTTATTTGAGAGTGAACTAGTGCATGCGTGCATGAGTGAGGGGAGGGGTGAAGGGAGAATCTTCAAGCAAACTCCCCACTGAGCACAGAGCCTGACAAGGGGGCTCGATCTCACGACCCATGAGATCTGTGACCTGAGCTGAAACCAAGAGTTGGATGCTTAACCGACTAAGCCACCCAGGCAGTCCCCTCGTTGTGGTTTTAACTGGCATTTCCGTGATAACTTTAATGATGTTGAGCATCCTTTTGTGTGCATATTGGCCACTCTTTTATATTCTTTTTGAAATATCTAATAAGTAAGACTGAAGGTTTTTGTTGCATGTCAGTACTTACCACAAAACAAATAGGGCCCAGA